TGCCACCTCATGCTCTGCCAGCCCTTGGTAGCCGCACACACGACTGTCAGCAGTGGCTGGTCTTGAGCATCCCTCTGGCCCTGAACACAGTTGCTGTCTGAAGTACAAGAGGGGAGCCACATGAAGTGTCACGGTAGCAAAGAACAGGGCCTCTCCAGTGCTCAGAGCAGGAGGTCTGGCCACACCAGAGCCTGGAGGGCCCCACTCAGGCTGGCAGCACGGGAGGGGTAGCGCTGGCCCTTCAGACCCTGCAGCATTCCAGCTGAAACATCTCCTCAGCAGCGGGTAGCCAGATGTACCCCATGGCTCTTCCTTGTACAGCTTTTGGCAGGGAATGTGAAGGGGTTTGGAGTCTTTCAGTGCATGTTTGCCAAGCCCAGCCACAAAGGCAGAGAGAAACCTGTCTACCTGCTTTGCTCTGGAATGGACTCCTGTCACACCATGCCCCAGAATGACAACTGCGGGGGCATGGGGCTGCTGTGAGAGTCCTGCACGGGACAGTCTTGGCTCCGGAGGCTGGCACTCTGAAGCCCCAGATGGCTGCTCTGGTGAGACAGGCCTTGTCTGAATCACCGGCCACAAGCAGATCTCCTGGTCAAATAACCATGCTAGGCAGGAGACTCCCGTGCACGCAGATGGCACTCGGTCCCTGAAAACCACTGCATAGGTCATGTTCGGTCCGTGACAGAACAGCCGACGCGTTTTTACTGTGGAGCTAGGGAGCAGTGAATGAAGTGTAACATCTTCTCTGCCGTTAGAAAGCACAGTTCTGGTGTTAGAAAGCACAGAATGAAGTGTGGCGCCTGTGCAAAGTTTGCACGCATAGTGCCACGCCTGGGGTCACCGCGGTGGCTGTGGTACCTCTGTCGGGTTTACCGTGGAGCGAAGAACTAGGTCTTAGAATTCCAAGAGCAATTCAGCAGTCCCTGCAACTTCATGGGGGCTGCAAATTAGAGTCTAAAATATGCTTTCAGGCACTCCTCCAGCCCCATGCAAAACTCGATCTATGTTTCCTCCATCAATCTGGCTCTCTCCTGGAGGACAGGAACGTTGGGCTGAAAACAAAGCAGCAGCAGGATGCGCTGTAGAGGTTGATCTTGGAGAGAGTGCAAACCTCCCAGGAGTCCTATAGCACTTACACTGGGGGAAGAGTTTAATTAATTCCCTAAAACATGTCTCCATTGACACTGCCAGAGTCTCTAGCTGTGGCATCCCCGAATGTCCCAAAATTAGAGCAAGGCCCCACGTCACTTGAAAACCCGACATTCTTTCTTACACAGTCCAAGTCATGCTGTTACTTTTTGCCGCTCTTTTCTGTCTGTTCTGGGTGTGCATTCAGCTTATGCAATGCATCCAGCAGTGTCTGGGATGTGATGGGCCCATCATATCTCCAACAATGAGTAATTATACATTTCAGTGGAGGCCTCACATTTCCAGCTTTGTAACAACTACAAGCATGACACACTTTCTAAAAATGGCCAAAAAAAAGAAGTAGTTGCATGAGCTAAAATATTCTAAAAGTACCAAGAAGGGCTTCTCCTCTCCCCAAAATCAAGATTCCCAATTCATACCGCTTCACTAATCATGGCAAGGCCTTGAGCCTTCACACTGGAGAGCCTGAATGTGATGGGAACATGCTGTGACCCTTGTAAGAGTCCTGAGAGGGCCTCCCTTCCAGCTGCTGGCCACAACTCCCTTCAGGTCCTCTCTCACCATCCTCTTCAACTCCTCGTATCTTACCAGCCCGGGAGAGACAACAGTCTCCACTTCGCCGTTTCACTGGGGAGGCAAAAGGCAGGGAGGCCCCAGAAGTCGCTCAGCTACTCCCCATCAGTGCTTGGCCTCTGAGTGACAAGAAGGGGACAGAGGTAGCAGCTGCAGAGGGCCTGCTCCTTCTGTGGGAAAGGTTGCAGGGAGAGGGAGAGGTCCTTTGTGTGCCAGATTGTGAGGAGACGGGATGGAGTATGGGAGCTCTGCTCTCGGTTCTCTGCCCTTTTCCCACGACCCAGATGTTAGCTGGCAGCCAAACTGGCACTGCACTCAGGGTATTTAGGGAGTGAAGTGCAATGGCCAGCTGTGCTGGGGGCATGCACAGTAGGCTGCGAAAAGACGAGGAACAGAGGGATATTTTTACCTCACTTTTTCGACTGCTGCAGTGTCTCTCACGCGGCACGTGAATGATTTGACTCTCGCCCCTTGAGTGACGGGGAAACAGAGGCACGAAGGACTCAGCACCTTGCAAAGAGCAAGTGCTGCCGAAGAGCCTGTAACAGCTCTCCTACTCCATCCGTTGGGCAAAATGGACAAGTCCGTGTGCTTCGCATTTACACGCTTCCCCAGCCTTGGCTCTCTGACGAGGGGTGCAGCTCGTCTGAAGCACACCCCCCCGGTAGAGTTAATACAGCCGAGCTCATTGGAAGGTCTGATTTAATTCGGATGTTTGACCTGCACACTGATAAGATCCTACATCAAACTACTGCACCATCTGATAAGTTGATTTTTTTTCTTGAGAAAGATAAAAGCAACGGTTTATGCCGTGGCACATGAACCCCTTTAGATTCATTGCCTTTCTTCACGTAGGCAGTTGTTCCTGAGGCTGCTGTTGTCAGCTCTGAGCAGCTGCTTTCTTGGAGAAGGGCCGTGGGACCGAGCACACGGAGACCGGACAAAGCCACCTGCAACAGGCCTAGCCCACTGTCCATTCAGTAGCTGCACAAGGACTGGAGGCACTGGATCAACATTGGGCAAAAAGTGGAGCATGAAGCTGATGACAGAAGGAGCCTTCTTTCCAAAGCAATGCTTTCCTGTGTCCGTATGCAGTGTCGGGACAAGTTGTTTAAGTTTCATAATTTTTCATCCCTTTTCATCCACCTCCCCTTCTTCTGCCCAGAAGAAAGGAAATAAGAACAAGATAGGAACACGAAATAAATGAGCTATGAATGAGATAGGAATAAAGTTCTTTCAGCCACTGGTCTGTCTGATGGTACTCCCTTCTAGCTGTGAGCAACACAGGGCTTCATGGGTGCTTCCCCAACTAGGAAAGGAGTCAAAATAGTATCACGTCTAATGGCGGGCAGCAGAGAACATTAGGAACTAGTTTGAGTTTCCTGTGCAGGGGAAGCTTCCCACTTCACTACAAATAATTGCTTGTACACCAAAAATTTCTGGAGTCCTGCCTTCTTACCCACATGTACATCACACACATGTTCTGTCCCCTGTCCCTGCCCACATTAGAAGGTGTGAGTGTGCCTGGTTGTACACATCCACCAGGTAGTGTATTGCAGTGCCTGAACAGGTATGAGACTACTCAGTGCATGCTTAGCTGAAGGAACAGATATGCGTGGGGAGAGCGTGCATCATGCATGTTCTTCTCTTCCAATAATTGCATCCCAGAGACCTGCCTGTCACACACATCCCAACATTTTAACATCACCTTAGTGGCCTCAGAAAAAAAATCTTGGGATTTAAAGTAAGTTTTTTGGGGATAAGTCTGTCTTTCATCAGGATGAGTCAAGCATTTGCATTCTGCTTCCCTGGGTTAGCAAATGTCCTTGTCCTTAGTTCCGTACTTAGCTGGGATTTCTCTTTCTTTGTGATGGAGACAGCAGCCGCATAGTGTGGTCCAGCGGCGCCTCTTGGAAGGCAATCTGAACAAGCTGCGGGGCGAGACGAGGGTTCAGTCTGCATGGGTTCAATCTCCGCTGGCAAAAGACCAGGATGAAAAGAAGGAAAAGGGAGAGGACAGGAGAAAAGAGACTTCACCCCTGCTAATACAGTGCCAGGTAAGGCGACAACATGGTGCTGCTGATTTCACAGTGATGGCAAATGCTCAGTGAGCTCCAGCTGCCCCACTCCCAAGGGCCGCGTTGAGTTGTTAACCGCGAAGCCAGCTCCAGCCAGAGCGAGCAGATTTCCCACATGGCCTCTCTTAGAGTTTGGATTCAGTTCTTCCAACAGACAGAGGAAAACCTTTCTGCCACATGCACTCTAAGTGTCCATATTTGAAGATAACTGAAACACATCTCCTTCCTTCGGAGGCCAGCTTTCCCGTGATATGAGGGGTTTCATAACTGCAAGGGGTGTCTCCTTATTACTTTAAGACAGGTGGCCCTAGCTGATTTACACTTACTGGTTCCGTCCTGTCCGATTCTTTCAGGTGTCAAAGGACCTCCTAAGAAAGTGGCTAACTGCTCTGAATTAGTGCTGTTGCATTTCTTGATGGAAGCAGTATTTTTAGCTCCATTTTCTTCTTATATCCTCCTGTACAGCAGAACACACTCCTTCCCGTACCCTGTAGGCAAGAATGCACACCCCAAAGCTGTGCCCAGGAAGAGGGCTGTGTGGTTAGAGCTGCTCAGTAACATGCCGGTATAAGACTCACAAAAAATACAGACTTGGTATACAAAATCCATGTTAAAGCTGTGTTTATTTCAGTTTCCTGTCCTAAAGAACATCTCGCATCTTAGGGTGTAAAGTTTACATTTTCAGGGAAAAATACATATACCTTTGGAGATTCAGTTGGCACAATTAATTATCATATGAACACAGCCTGGTGGCATGTTCCTGAAATGTTCAGATCAAGTGTCTCAGTACCACGCAAAGCTGCTGTCTGGTTTGTTTCCCAGCCTTTACTGTGCCAGTTCGGCACTGCCTACCCTGGGTTTTAGACTGGGGTGTAACTAGGTTAAGGTAACCGTACATGGGAAAACAGACTAGTAGGATGAATGGCGCTCAGTGTGATTTCTCCAAACAGCTGGAGTCTTTTTTGAGCAAATGAAGGTATTTCTTTAATCACCACTCTGTATTTTGCTGAGAGGAAACTCAGTGATGAAGGGTGGTTTTTTGCCAGTCACGTACATCGTACAGGGTCAGGCATGCCTAGGTATCGTATCCCAGGGGCAGCAGCTAATTCCGTGTCAGAGGTAGCTGATTACCCGTTCCCCTTCGTGTTTCTAATGGTGTCACACACATTGTCACACATACTGTATTTTCCTTCATGGAGGAAGGTTAATGCACATCACAGTCAAGGAAGTAGGTCTAATGCTGCACTTAACTCTCCCTGAACTCAGTACCTTCTGCACAGGCATTTCTCTCTTTTTCTGCCCTTCTTAAGAGCCAGTCACTGTTTGCCACACTTAATCTTATATTGAAGGAAGAGAAGCTCTCCTTGCTACTTTTCATTTTCACATTTGTGAACTTCAGAAAATCTCGCCTGTGAGTAACAGATTTATGGCAGGAAATAGCACTCAGGCTGCCAGTTCATTTTAACCAGAGAGGTAAGTTGGTACCTTTTGGAGAACTGCTAGACTGTGATGTAGTTTTTATTAGAAATAGAACACAACCCCAGTGAAGTCTCTTTTCCCTGACAGCAGCTCCCAAGAAAAGATCATTTACCAGCAGAAAGCTTCCAGTTGCACTCGGGCAAGTATGCTGAAAATTTCCAAGAGGTAGCAAAAGCATCACCTGAGTCACTGAACTCGACTAGGAAATGAAGCTGAACATACGTAGGCTTCAGCGATACGGGGAGATTCAGGCAGGAAGTGTTTTCACCCTCACAGCTTATGGTTGCCTTGTGCCTAAGGCCTGTTTAAGTTTCAGAGATCACAGCAGATGGGGTGTGTCATGGTTGTGCTACAGAGTCACTCACCCCCCGATTTACTGAGGTGGATTGCTCACGTGGTACTTTAGTAGAATTGCCCCTTTTCTGAGCTGTTTTGGCTTTGGAAAGCTTGTCGTGACTGGCATCTGCACTGTAAAATCAAGCTGTTATTTTTTGTGGTGCCTTTTCTGGGCTGTTTTGGCAGAACGCTTTGGAAAGCTTGTCGTGACTGGCATCTGCACTGTAAAATCAAGCTGTTATTTTTTGTGGTGGGGCTTGCCTCTTGCTGACTTGAAAATAGATGCTGAAAGATTCCACTGCTGTCCCAGGCTGCTTTTCCACTGTGCCAAAGCAACCTTGGTTAAAGGTTGGTTAAAGCAGATTCTTGACTTTGGAACCGACATTATTTCAGAAAACAAAGCTTTTTATAAATGGTGATCCTTACCGATTCCCCTCCCTTCTCTTTCTTGGAAATCCTAATAATTGACCTTTGGATAAAGACTAATGGTGACTGGTGACAGACTGAAAATTCTGGGGCAAAGGTGGGGGTGGGTAATGTGATAAAAAGTCCTCTTAGTCCCAGAAGGCTTGCAGTACTCATCAGCTGCCTGGGTGCTACTTACCTCATCTGCACTCTCTTTGTGGTGTTGGACCAAGGACTCTCCCCAAGCTCCTGGTGGGCTCTCTGGGCAAATGGTTCGTGGTGTCACTGGGAGGTGGACAGCTTCCATGAGGCTTCTGGAGCTGGTAGCTCTGCAGGGCTGTTTACCACTGAATGAGATTAAATGCTGTTTTTTTACAGAATAATCACTGTCCTCCTGTATCCTAGCAAGTTTCTAACTTGCAGTTTTCCCAGCCTGCTCTGAAACAAAACTCAAGAATCTACCTAGTGGTACAGTTTAGGTTTATTAACAATGCTAACGGCTCATGCATCTCAGGTCTGCCTGCTCCCAGAGTAATTCCTTAGCAATTGCTACACATACTCCAGGTCTTCTGTTTCTGAAGGGCTGATACAATGCCTTTTCTGTAGCTGGGCAACGAACAGTTGGCTTCTGTGAGCCACAGGGAGGGGTGAATCTAAAAATGTCCGTTAGTGAGGAAGAGCTGATGCAGCTGGAGGTTGGCGTATTGCGGTCTGGACAGATGTGGCAGCATACCTGACCTGGCACTCACGGCAAATAGACCTGTTTAGGTAGTAAGGAGGCACAGGGCAGCCTCTTCTATAAAGCACAGTACAGAGGATGAGGAGGAGGATGGTTGGCAGAAGGGGAGGGATTTTGTCATGGGCCCATAGAATGACTTAGGTTGTAAGGGACCTTAAAGATCATCTATTTCTAACCCCCCCAACATGGGCAGGGATAAGGTACTGTACTCTGGGTCCAGACAATTTCCAGGCTGTTTTCTCTCTAGAAGCCTACACTTTGTAATACCAGCTTTTGCCACAAACAGGTGTTTTCGTGAGGTAAGGCAGGATCTCTCCTCCTGTCCTTGGGGAGTTCTATGGGCAGGCTCTACTCCTAGTCCTGAATGTTGACACGCCAGGCAGCTCAGAGCCACAGACAAGCAGGAGTATTGCCAACATCAGGAGCTTCCAAAAAGAGTGCTTGGCAGCTCTTCCCCTTCTGTGAGGCTCTAGCACGCTCCCCTGCCTGTTTAAAGCAGATTTGTGCCAAGGGACATGCATGAACGAAGGGCAAGAGAAGGGATGCGCCTTCTGGGAACAGGCAGCAGCTCAGCTGGGTCTCCTACCAGCTCTGTCGTGTGACCTGTGCTCCCATGAGACCACACTTCAAGCTGCTCTGCAGTGAAATGGGAGTGCTCATTTGTCAAGGAGCTGGGGAATATTCCTGTATGAATGTGGGAAGAACTGCAAAGGCGGCTTCTGGGGGTTGGTTTCTCAGTGGTCTGACTCTGTTTCAGGAATCTTACAGCTGGTCTCAGGTCAGTTATGTTTTGCGTTCTGCAGCAGTTGCCATGCCATGTGCCAAAGAGCAGCCTCGGACTGAATGCAGATGCCAGCGTGGCTGGGACTGTGGGAAGCACATCATGTAACGGGGAAGGCACAGTACTGGCAGCCAGCAGTTTGTGAGATCTGGCTTGGCTTTGGGTTTCCAAAAGCATTCAGCATTATATGCCTCACTTGGGGCTGGTAGGAAGTCAGAAGTGCTTGCAGGTACATGGGACTGTTAATTAACTGGATATATGTTTTATAAGACATGCTTTTTTACATTAAAGCAGAAAAAGTATAATAACCAAATCAGAAGCTGTTGAAAATACACATCTGTGTGTATTTTCTGGGTAGATACTGCCTGAGCACTCCTCTCCTTGCTCCTGGATGAGGCCACACATGGTGAATGCTCTTCTTTCTAAAACCACTGATGTTATTTAAATATACATCATATATACATATAGGACTTATATGATTCTTGGTGAACTCAACAGTATAGGTTGAGATCCCTTGCTCCAGTGGTCTTGCAGTTCTTGAGAATTTCTCAACTAAATAGCCGTTATAGGGATATGGTGTATCTAAATGTTTAGAATGATCAAGTTTTCTACAGTAATGTACTGCAGATGCAGTTTAGACCAGAGGAAGAACTCCAAAACTTGAAGTTTCCAGCATACGCTCTCTGAGGTTGCCTTGAGTGCAATTAGCTACTACTGGTGCTGTGTCTGTTTTCTCCTTTGTCTTTATAATAATTGACAAATAGCACATTTCTGAAAATGAAATCTTGGAAATACTGGATGTAGCTCTCTGTGATGATTAACACATGCAGTAATAATAAACAGATTTAGTTTAGAAATCAGGAAATGGAGACATTTTCCCTGACCCTGCTGGTGCTGCATTGAGCCCCTGATGGTCGTGGGGATCTGCTGAAGGTGTTCAAAGCAGTGAAGTGTGTCAGGAATTAGCAGAAGGGTAGAAGAGCTGTGGGAGGTCTGTTGCTGCTTCTGAGTGGCTCGTGCCACTGAGTGCCATAGTGGATGGAAGAGAAGGAATCAACAGGAAAAAGACAAAGGATAGCAGGAGGAAAATGAGCCTCCCAAGAGGGAAACTTTGTGAGGGTTTTTTTATTTGTATTTTTGGTGGTGGTGCAAGACACAGCATTGAAGACCTAGGCCGTTGAGAATGGGTATGGTTAGGCACTCTAGGTGGGTGATTTGTAGATGACAGTTACTCCATCTTTTTCAGTTCTTTCGCTAAGTCCTGCTCCTCCTTTTTTTTTTCCCCGTGAACGTAACTTTTATTGATGTCCTTGATGACCCTATTTTTGCCAAACCTCTACCATAGATGAGGCCTGCTATTACTTCAGCACCTGCCATTAAGGACCTCTGTGCAGGGGGGACAGAAGACAGATGGCAACCACATCTCCTGTTCCCTCTCAAGTGCAAAGGGGTGAAGAAATGAAGTGGGCAAGGCACCGGGGTTTATTTCAGTAAGATCATGCAGAGGTGATTTGAGTGCAGGGCATCCAGTCTCTCCCTTTGCTAGATGACACACGCTGTGAGTATTTTAGTTGCAGTGTTCATGTTGTATTTCCTTAAAAAGCTGCCTAGGAACTTAATGCAAGCTCCACACAAAATAGACACCTCTTGATTAGGTTGTTTCTTAGATTCAGGCACCACTTGGATGTGTCAGTTATCTTGGGAAGCGCCGTAAATTCAAGCTCCTCTCGGGGATGCTTGTCCTGGGTGCTCCTGCTTCTCCCACAGATTTCTCCCTCTGGAAGCTGTTCAGCTGAGAACAGAGAGCTGGCCCTGGAACAATGCTGTGACACCAGAAAAAACAGAGAGAAAACCTACAAAGGCTGTAGCAGATGCTTTTATTTCTTTAGAAGCTCTTGTCATGACAGTTATTGCTCTGCTAATGAAGTCCATGTGGGTTTTCTGAACAAATCCACTAGTTGTGCATCTCTTCCCAGGAATACTGCTAAGTTAAAGTCGTTAATAACAGATAATTGTCGGAATAACAAGATACACATTAAAGACAACAAATTCAAAAAGACTGGCAGAGGTTTGCAGAGCACTGGGGAGACCACCGTTGTCTTGTACGTGTTTCCTGTCTTCTGACTGCTGTCAAAAGCACCACGTCTTTGGCTGTGGAAGGTCTAAGGGATTGTCACCCTGTTGGAGGAGTGGGTATGCCCATTCTGAACCCACAGTAATTACTTCTTGTTGTTTTTTCTAGTGCCAAGGTCAGGTATTGAAAGCGACTGTTAACACTGGGTGTCTACCAAATCTCATCTCCAAGAGCTGTTTAAACCAGCTGGGGTAAGTCTCTGCACAGTAGAAAAAGAGGGGTGATCCAAAGAAAACCCATGGCAAGAACCTAGGCACTCCTGATTCCCAGCCCCAGCGGTAATTACGAGCAGCTTTGCCCAGGGCTGTTTAGGCCAAGATGCAGAGGGTGGGCTACAGGGCAAGTCGTCAGGAGCACCGACAAAGTCATGTGCAGATCCCAGATGAGGAGGCAGAGCTGTGTCATTCTCTCTGTGTGCACTGCATGTGCTCAGCTGCTGGTTAGCCTCAGCGGCGAGAAACCCAAATGGTTTTGCTGGTGGAATCTCCTTAGACATGAAAGATTCTGCATCGTGCAGGCCCGTTCCCAATGAAATCAGGAAGTACTGCCGTCAGTGATAAGTCCTGGTTTTCCTCCTCTTCCTCCACTTGAGGCAGTAACACCTCTTGTGTCCCACAGGCTGGAAGAAGTGTCTGACATGGACTGTGGAGACCTCTCTCTTCCCATCCCCAGCGCCGTTGGCCGAGTAGAACATATGGAATTGCAATTTGGCCAGGAGACAGTGCTGTGTTCAGCGCTGGTTGTAGGTGAGAGTGCCAGTCCCTCCTCTCCCCCAGTTTTCCTGTGTCTCTCTTGCCCTGCCAAGGGCATTTAAAAGGATCTCTGGGCAAAGTGTAGCGTGGTGGGAGGTTGCTGATGTGGTCACCTCCACCGCTGGCCAAGATTATTATGCACTGTGAACACCCTCAATGTAACCAAAGGCAAAGGGCATAGGAGGAGTGCAGAGAAGACATAAGACATTGAAAGCAGGGAGAAATGAGGTGCTTTTCGGTTTTAACACAGAATGTGTAAAATTCTCATTTCCTTCTAAAATGGACCTTTCTTAAAATTATTCAGACTACTTGATTAGTCCTCTGGTGCCCTATTGTTCTCCTATTGAACGGGCCCTTTTGTCTTTGGATGGATGGATGGATTGATGGATGTCATCAGAGAAACTGTCAGAGTGAACACCTTATTCCCCAGGGTGTTTCTCTGTGTATTCATACGCCTCTGCTGCAGGGAGCACCCTGGAAGAACCGGGTAGCCCCAAATTGCTGTCTCCCTTGATGTCCTGTGGCACAACCCTATGAAGGAAGGAGAGGTGGGAGACAGTAGGCACTGGGGCATGCCCAGAAAACAGCAGAAAGGCTGCATGTTCTGCATTTACATGAAGCTGTGCATGTGCTGAGAAGAATTTAGTAGACTTTTTTTCCCTGTTCTTTCTCCCTGTTAGTCTTGCAGCTTTACCCTCCTGCCTTTATCTGTCTCCTCATCTTGGATGAGTACTATTCAGCTTCTAAGGCCTCCCTTGCTCTCTCTTTTCATGTCCATTCTTCCTGCTCTCCTGGTCATCTAGAAAGTGCTTCCTCCTCTTCCACACTCCAGCTCACTTTTTTTCCCTGGTTTCCCCTCTACTTGTTCTTGCCCTTCATGGGGAGTTTGTATTAGTATCAGTACAGGTGAATCTAGCCCAGTAGCACCCATCCATTTTACGGGGATGTGGAAATGGCTATCTGGAGGGAGCAGAACTGCAACATCTGTGACATATATCCCTGTGCACACAGTGTTCTTGCTTATGTGGTCATAAATCCATTAGAAAACACAGCCACTGGTTACAGGGCAAGCAGGCATTCAGGAGACGTGGGAAGTGTTAATGATGTTACTGGTGGCTGCTGAATCCTGCAGACTCCAAGACCTGAGGATTCCTCGTTCCCTGCCACTGAAGTTGAGATGGATGACTGAGCCCCAGGAGGTCGCTCTCACCTAGTCCAATGCGTGTTCTCAGTGGCAGGTCCGAAAGGCACATACAGAGAGGACACAGACAAGGCCAGCCGCACAGGTTACCACACATGGAGCAGTGCCTTTACCAGACTCACGTGAGCACCAGCACAGACAGCCCAGTCCTGGTCCTCTTCCCCGGCTGGCCAGGACTGAAGTTCACTAGCAGCTGCTCATCCATCCTCAGTCTCTACATTCACAAGCACACTCATATTCACAGAGTCTTCAAATAACACCACAACTTCTAGGTCTGTCTTATATTCACATCTGGACCCTGGGCCCCTTACCCAGCCACTGACCCAGACCTGGAGTTCTAGATGCAGGTTTCCTCCTACTCACCAGCTAGACCAGATTCAAGTTCACTAGCTAATTAGTATACAAAACCACAACCATATAGGATTAAGTTCACTGGGCAAATATAAACACACCCAAGTATTTCTAGTTAGTGGCATTTAGATCTCTCACTCGTATGTCTCATCCTCTTCAGTTGCTGGCTTATAAGCCTAAGGCCCCTGTGGCCCTGGTCAGAGTTGGTACCCAGAGCTCTCTTGCATGCTGATCTCTCCATTTGTTGGCACCTAGACCTAAAAGCTCTGTGACCCATAGTCCTTCTCCCTTTACTGGAACTTAGACCTTGCAACACACATTACAGACTCTTCAGTTGCTAGCACCCAGCGGTATAAGCCCTATGGCCTGCGCTCCCTTCCCCAGTTACTGACACCCAGACTTCTCTTGCACACTGGTCTCTCTGCTCGCTAGCACCTGTGAGCTATGCCCCTGTTGTGATTTAATCCCAGCCAGC